ATTATGCACTTTTAACTTTATTCATATATCCCCGCAAATGTATGCAATTCTAACCTGAATATAAATAACATGTCTTTTACAGTTATCAGGACGTTACTCAAAAGGCCCAATCGTTGGAAATACTATACACACAAATATGTCATTCTAGACCCGAAGGTAATGAATGCGCTGGGCACATATCATACGATATCTTCAAAACGAATTAACGAATAAACTGGAGAGGAACTGCGGAGACTCATGGATTTGTTAGCGATCAGTGACCATTTCGATCCTCACCTAGCTTTATTTAAATATTACCATGAATTTCATACATCAAATGAGAAGGATTCCATTTTCTCGTAAAAATATTTCAAAATATAGGTTCTCATCAGACGGAACCAGAGCAATAGTACTTATTGTTCCTTCTACCGTGCATACAACAACGAGAATTTGGAATGAAATCTTGATTCAGACAAAAATGATTAAAAAGAATCAGCACCTACCTGGAATTTGACCATGGTTTCATGATCCACAGATTTCATTAATGGTATGAATATATCAGAGTTGTCCCTGAGTAGCAGTAATAAGCATGATATCCGTCGCTGCGATTTTTATTATCCTCAAATAAATACAAGGAATAATTTAATGGGCCTCACATATACATATATTTTCTATGAGCACAGAAACATTCCAGCAAACAGATGGAATTAATAACCGACAACATATCTCGTCTAAGAGTGGATCGAAAAGTTGTGCAATACTCTCCTATAGCCGCCTGTACTCGGAAGTCCATTGTAAGAATTCCTTGTAGAAGCAAAAATCAAGTGATAAATACAAGTCATTCAAGATGTGTTGCCAGATTTCAATAAAAACATTCAAAGAGTCGTGAAGCAACAAACGTGTTGTGTACCCCTCCCATAATATCCATATTATTAAGAAAAATTCACTAGTGACATAGAAGAAGAGGAGGATACACATTTGAATATTAGAAACAACTCCTGAGCAAAACATCTTACAACAGTATGGATTAGCATTAATATAGACGGATATCTGCCCTATAATTCCGCGCGTCATCGTTGCATGTATATCTCCACGATTTTACAAATATATCCTATGGGAAAAGGAAGAGAATAAGATAGCCAGGGAAGTAAAACTGGATCAGTAAGACTGTTGTCCCTCTGTATATATCTCAATGAAGGAAACGGACAGAGTCTGAACATTGACTGTTCTGTATCTCTATATTAAGACGCTTAAGATATATTGAATATGGGTAGAATAGTAAGGAGTCTACGAATATATCTCTTCTTCTATCCTCCCAGACTTCTAAAAAGGCACCATAAAAAGAAAGTAGGAGAAGACGGATTAGAAGTAGCCAAAGAGCGCAAGATTACCACAGGAAGAAAGAAATAATAAAGTAAGTCGGAGGGGAACAAACACCACCTGGGGAAGCAGACTGGGGAATGATGGTTGTGAGGGGCTGCTTAAAGTCCAGACTGTAAATCCGGAGCGAACAGCATTAAAAGGCTAACCGTAAGGAATAGACTTTAGAGGCTGATCACCAACCAGCAACAGGAAGGATAAGCCTTTAACCATAGAGATTGCAAACTAAATCATGCACCCCAAAGACTCGACCTTGGAAATCGAGTAATACAACACATAGCAAAACCTTAAAAACTAATAAACAAGCAATACAAGATGGCGCCAGAAATTAACACCTGTACCAACTACCCGTGATGCCTAAGGCAAAAACCTTCGCGGGGATACCCTGAAGAAAGATAAGAAGAAATAAACAAGAGCATCTTGCAGCATGAGGCATAGCAGATACACCTGATCAATGCACAGTAAACATACACTATAGAGCGTAGACATAAGACGTGAACCGACAACCGTAAATTTCATCAGAAAAAAGTAAACGCTAAAGGTATCCGCTCAGAGGTACACAGTAAAGATGGATCAACGACCATGAAATTTGAGGCGTACATCGTCAGGATACGAAACAGAATCCTAAGCCTAAGCGGGTACGAAATAGGACTACACCGCCGGAATAAGGCAACACATGTAAAGAATTAACCGTAGCCATAAAAAGTAAAGTGTAGCAGTATACCCTAAACCACAAAACTCACCGAGAAACCGTGGAGGCTAAGCCATGTAATATGGAGCTTAGACCCCAAAAAATACGACACAAACACTGGACCATAGATCGTAAACCCCTGAAGATGGTCACAGGGGACATAAGGCCTAATTAGTCAGCCTTAGGCGTCTACAGTTACTTATCGTACGATACAGGTGAACACTAGAGGATAGAAGCAAGTACCCGACAGTAGACTTAAAGAAGCCGGTGTACACCTAGAGGATAAACCATGACCCGTAAACTCAAGAATGACACCATGAAGACAAGAGACAAAGCATGAATCCTAAACATTAAAAAGGAAAGAGTGCAAGGTACAACATGGTACCATCCAGAACAACAATGAGCAGGAAGAGCCATACGATGAATAAAACCCACGTGAAACAGGTGCTTACACAATGCAGCATCAATCCGTACAGTACCTACCTGAACAAAGAGCAGTACAAGTAAACCCTCTAGGGCCAACTGTACTCTTTAGAACTATTCCATAGACTATGAGACATCCGAATCACCACAGGCTGGCCAAGGACGAAGGAAAACGGATAGAACACAAACAGAAGCAGTAACAAGAGGAAGCTAATGCGTAAGAAACCAAAACAAGGGCACAAATAACCAAATATGCCATCCACAAAATATGATGATAGAGACGGCACGCAACTGACAAAGTACAGCAACACCGTAAAACTCACACCTCCATGCCTAAGCAATGGAGGTGCAAATAAGTGCCTGAAGCACACTTCATCATCACTAAACCCTAAAAAATACACCCACCCCCATGAACGTTAAAGCCTACGATTTAACAAAACAGGGCAAAGTCTTAAAGTCCAAACCGATAATCCTAGAGCGGAAAGTTTATCATTATAGCCTAGAGGGTACCCCATAAAGGATGAAGAATAACAAATGAAACCTACCAGGGAGAGCGATAACCAATAAATATACGGAGCGAGACATAAGCCATCATGTCCTAAGGAATAGACTTTGAACTGAAATCACGAAGTATCAGCTATAGGGATAAAAAATAAATGTGCAGTATAAACATGAAAACTAAACATAAAACTCTGAAAAATGAAGTCTCAGCACGAGCGCGAGAGACCCAAAATATGAGCAATAAAGCATAGGACGTGAATCCCCCAATCCAGAACCTTCTACCTTGAAGGTAACAGGTAAAACATAGAGGGTGAAGTGTGAGAATCAGACACTCAGGTATACACCATAATCAGACAAATTTCAGCGATAAAACCAACCCCTAAAGCCTAAAGCTAACAATACCCCCAGGCCCGTAAACATAACCGGAGCCACAGTAAATCTCTACAGTAGACGCCACAAGTAAACCAACAAATCGGCCAGTAAAGGGCGAGACCTGGAACCTAAACCATGAAAAATGGAATCCTGAACACCAAAATGTAAAGCGTAAAGTTAAGACCCTGAGAAACAAAATTAGCTACAACCCGATAGGTCCTAAACCCTAAATCTTATAAAATAAGATCCAAATCTAGAGCCTAGACCGTAAAGTTAAGAGCCTACAGACTAAAGAAAGGACCCATCCTTAATGATGCACCTCCTACCCGGGGATTCCTAGATAGGTGCTCAGCGCTAAGACCAAAGATGATAGCAAATACAAGCTGAAACACGCACGAGACGCGCCAGAGTAGTAATCCGCACATATAAGTTTAAGCAATACACAGTAGGAAGTAGATTCCGAAGCGTGAGCCTCGAACTAGGTCTCATATCTGTGACCTGACGCCTAAGAGTTATGGGCAAGATTAAGTCAAGCAACGGGACAGGTACACCCCAAATCTAAATGATGAGCAAGAAGCCTAAGCCCTCCTCCCTCAAAAGTGGAGATTAGACGATAAAACCCATTCTCTAAAATATAAGTCACTCAGCTGAGGACTGAATGCTAGATCATTAAAGATAAGAATGAAACCGTGAAAGCTAAGAAGAAGTCAATAAGACAGAAGACTGATGGATATACCGTAAGCGTTAGAACATAAAAAATAAACTGCGCACACTAAATCCTAAACCCTAAGGAGTAAAAACTAAAAAATAACATTGACCAGAGGACCCCTAAATCATGAATCCTAAAACACTCAGGATGAAAAAATAAGCTCTAAGCTCAAAATCAGGAACCGTGACTCCTGAACCAGGGACCGTAAATCCTAAGAGGTAGCCAATAATCCTAAATCGTAGAGCTAAAACGTTAAACGTTAAGTCCTAGACCTAAACCCTAGGGCCTGATCACTAAATCCTAAAACATCAAACGTGAATCCGAACTACTATGACTGAACGGTAGACCCTAATCAAGGAGAGCCTGAACCGTAAACCATAACCATGGCAACTCCCCACCAGAGCTAGGACCAAAGCCCTCAAACCAAAACACAAAACCATAAATCCTAACGCCTAAGCTCTAAAACATAACCCCTGGACAATAAACTCCCAAATGTACGTCCCCAAATCCTAAAGCTTAGAGATTAAATTGAACCAATGAAATCAGGACCCTAAACACAGAAGCCTAACCCCTGTAACCTTGAGAGTAGACCCTGAACCCTGAACCTTAAACCCTAAACCTTGAACCACGAAACCTAAACCTTGATCCCCTAACCCTAAACCCTGACGTCTAAACGGATAACCCCATTTCTGGAAATTCCCTCCCCCAACGTTCTACCCCACAAACCTAGCCCTCACCCACAAGGGCCTTATCCCGTGGTCTGCTCGAAGATTTTCCCAGTGGGAACCTCCTAATCCCTTGCCAAGAGGAGACGCCTGCTATGTGGCCCCTCCTCCTGGGGGTACAGGAACCCCCCAGCGGCTGATCTAAACTTCCCCCCTCAACTGTCTGTGATCCGGGCTCCCGCCTTGAGCTGTTTTGCCCCCCCTTGAGATATGGGAGCTGTCAAGCTCTACCATAACCCACCCTCCAAATTGAACGCCCTACAGAAACTAACCCTCCTGCACTCTTCCTAAAGATCCTCCAATAAGCATAGCCACCGACGCCCAATCCCAACAGCCCCACGGCTCCCCCCGTGATCTTAGGGGCAATCGGAGACTGGGTGATAGGCCCCTGGAGATCGTCTGCCTCGGTGTGACTTTGGAATGGTGGGCTGTTCTCCTCAGCTACATTGGCCGAGACCTGATTCCTGCCCTCCTGTTCCTGATTCAGGCTCGTCTCGTCCTTCTCCTCCAGCTGTAACTGACTCTTTGGCTCTGATTCAGTTCTGGAGATATCTGCAGACTCGTGGCTTCTGGCGATGGTGGAGGCCGCCTCTGGACGTAGAGTTTCCAGCACTTCGTCATCGGTTGATTGGGGTTGTTTGATTAGAGGAAGTTTTGGTGAATTTTTATCACTGCTGACTCCTGTTTCGGTTGGTCCCTTTCCGTGTTCTGCTGCCGGCTTCGATTGTGCTAGACCCGCTGTTGGTGCTGTTCGTATGGATGGCTTCTGGACCCTCCTCTGGGGCTGGGTTTGGGGATGAGTTGTTGGCTTGGGTCCTTGGACTCTTCCTGATACAGATGCCTCTTTCTTCTTCTTTGAGATATAGCTCCCTAACTCATCTCCTGTAATGCTCAGCCTCCCGTTTCCTGCTGCGTCCTCGATCCAGTTTTGTCCTCCTTCATTATACCTCAATTGTTTCGCCCTTTTAATTGTTCCTTTGTCCCCTATTAACCAACCACTTATATCATAGGATTGACACGTGCTACAACATTTTCTCATACTCATATACACACTCAGTAATAACGACATGGCCGCGTACTGACAATGTGTGGACTCTGTTCCCTTCCTACATTGCTTTGAGTTGTAGTCCCATGACCACCTGGCATCCTTGTATAAGCTAGACCATACATCCTCCTCAATCATTAAGAGATCATTCACTTCCTGGCATAGTTCGTTGTACTGCTGCCTGTTTGGATTTCTAGCTTTTGTCATTTGTTGTTGGAAACCTAAAATGATACAAACTAACATCAATAATGCTGTCTGTGGATTTGTATTATCTGTCCACTTGTGATCTATATTTTTTGCCATTAATCCACTCCAGTGCTTTTTGGTCCAAAAGACCCCTCGGGGATTTTGGTCCGTGGGATGATCCCTTGGAGTTAGATCCATTAATTCATTCATGACGCACGTCAATAAATCTCTCCACGTAACCTGGCCATCATATGCCCTTCGGCTTCTTCGTAATCCACAACCCTTTTGACCTGCTTCCCTGCTGAATCTTCCCCAGCTTGTCGTTGCATGAGAGGTCAGCTCGCCGATCCAAGCATTCAAACCGAAATACTCTTCTCCGCTCCAGTCCAGGTTTTCCCTTAGGCAATATCCTTCAATTCCCTGCCTCTCTTCACAAGGCTGCGCCGTGGTCAGGCCTATTTCGACCAGCTCTCCTCCCGCATTTAAACTTCCTATCTCCCACGACATGATTCCTCACTCCTCCTTTGCCTTTTCAGACTCTTGGTACCTGATCAAATGGTTTGCAGTTTATTTCTTTTTATCTGCTCCAACTTCTCTGGAATCCCCTCATGAGGAGTTGCTTTTAAGTCATTGTTCTTTCTGGGTCCCCGAACTCGAATAGAATCGTCGTGTGCTCCTCGGTCTCTATTCTTTCAAGAATTGACCGTTTCCTTAGGGTGGTTCGTTGCATGTCGGTTGTTCATGCTCTGCTCAGATCTCCATCCTATCTCAGCCTCCTCTACTCTATGGTCCCCTTATTGTAGAGGCGCTTCCTTTAGGCTCCACGTCCCGAATTTTGTCCTGGTCCCTGGTATCTACTCCTACCCTCCCATTCCTCTTCAAGTATAGGCTCCTCCTTGCCTCTGAGGTTAGGTTCCCTCCCTCTTGAATCTAGGCTTCCCCTGAGCCGGTGGTGGAGTTATTGGATTTGTTCCCCTTCAACTTAGTCCGCGCCGAGGAGGGCTGGGATAGCGGCGACCCACAATTCCCTGCTGTTGTTCTCTCCGTTTTTCACCCTTCCCGTAGTGGAGGATGGTGGGGCGCGTGGGGGGCCGTCCCTGGTGATGCTTTGCTCTTGATGTGGATTGTTGTCCATTTGTGTTGGTAGCTATTAAGTTGGATTGAGAATTCGCTCCTTCGGGGGTGCTGTCCTGCCCCTAAGTCTTGGCCTCTTGTCCAACTCCCTTGGTATCCCACCGCTGCCCCCCATCGGGGGGAGTTCATGTGTCTTCTGCTCTCCCGCTCTTCGCCTTGATCGGCTAACATCTGTCCCTTTCGAATTGCTTGGCTTCTTCTCGTGTCATCTTGTGCCTGTCTGTGGTCAGTGGGGCTGCTGCTGAGAGTCCTCATCTTCTCTGACGTTATCTCTCCCCTTTGCGACGGTGTCCTGGACTAGACTCAAATTCTTCCTAGAACACGCCTTGAAATTTATCCCGTCCCCTTGACGCTTAGTACCTCTAAAGTCTCCACATTTGCCCTTAATGCCCTTGGACTCATTGTCCGATTTGGCATCTTAAAGTCTCGTTCTGCTTCGCCGACTTTTTAGAGTGCTTAAATACGATGCCTGTAGGTGCGGATCTTACTCTCTCTGTCTTGTTCTGCTATCCTGGGCTTCACCCCTGCGATCCAGGACTATCTCTGCTTCTGCCTGTGGTTGGGGTTCAAAGGGCCAGACTTCCCCTGACAGGGCCTGTTGCTCGTGTTCCTTGTCCTTTTCATTGTTCTGCATCTTCGGACCCTACTTTAGGACTCCTCCTTTTTTGGTCAGCTTTTTGCTCCTGCCTGATCCTCTGCCCCCTGAGGTTTCCTCACTCTTTGGGGGCTGGGCTCAGCTAGTTGTTCCGGCTTGTGGTGGGGGCATCAGGGCCTTAATTCTTCTCCCCTGCGATTTCCTGGTTTGCCCCTTTACACTTGTGTTGGACTACTGCTCCCCTATTCTCCGTTCCTCTTGAATCCTTATCCCCCTCAAGCTCATTTGACCTCGGTGGTGATCACTTCCCTTTCTTTCTCGGCCTGGTGATTGTCCTTAGCTCATATTTACCACTTACTCCTCGTGCTTGCCCCGCTTAGACTCTTCTGCTTCCTTAATACGTCATCTTCGCTCCGGGAGGTAGTTGTGAGTTGTTCTTGTATATTCAGTCTCTTCACCCCCTCAATCCTTCCTGCTACTCAGGAGGTCCTGAAGGTTGGGGGGCTTGCCCGGACATGGCACGTGTCGTTAACCTCTATCCGGGCTTGCCTACTTTTCCTCGGCCTCCCTATGGGGGCCGTGATGCTGATATCTGCTCTGCCTGCTGTTCTCTGTGCAGGTTCCCCTAGGGGGGGGAATCCTTCGTCATTGTCGTTTTCGGATTATACTCATCTGTTAGTCTCTGGAGCATTTTCCCTGTTTTGCCCCCATAGTCTGTCGGGCCTTCCGTTATCGCTTTTGTTGTTAATTCTGTCCTTTTCATCTCTGTCAATTTGGTCGTACGATGTGTGGCCTCTTCTCCGCGAGGCTTCTCGATTCCCCGTCCCGTATGTCCAAGTACTGACGGGTCCTAATAAGTGCCACTCGGTTTTACTTTCTAGTGGTCCCTTTCTGTCTTGTATCGTCTCCTCTTTTCCTTGGCTGCAGTATTAACTTCCGCCTTCTTTCATTAATGTCTTGCCAGGGCTTTCACGGGATCCCTGACCTGGGTTGGGTGTTTGGAAGTCGTCTTTGATCATTGATACTCCGCAGCGCTTTCGGGGGATACATGCCTTGTCTTGGACTTGCCGTTATTTTGTTTGAAGATTATCCTGTTTCTCAGACTACTGGGCTTCTTGAGACGATATTTAGATTCTGGAGAATTGAAATCCACGGTCTTCCTTGGCGCATTCTTTGAGATGTCCTCTTTCCATTTTTCTATTTTAAGATCCTGTTATTCTCTGTCAGTCAGGAGGTTGATTTGAGAGGGGGACGATCCTGAGTGTTCCTTTTGTCTATCTTGTGGTTCCAGAATTAATTTTCCCTGACATTCGGGAACTAGGGACCTCTTCTGGATTTACCTCTTTGCGGGTTTGTTTTGGGAGATTCCTTCTTCCCTCTTTGGTTCTTTCTTAGTATTTGTTCGGGGGTTTCGCTACCTTCCCTATCCTTTGATTTTGGGGGTGTTGTGCGACTTGGAGTGACTGTCTCGGGAGTCGGGTTTCACGGATCGAGACTCGCTACTTGTCTAATGCTGATTCGGCCAGTTCCAATACCCTGCCCAGGTCGCTTCTCTGCTTCTCCTTTTCTTGCCTACTCCTTGGGATCCTTTGGAGGAGCCATACCGGGAGATTCGTTCCTCTTTCTCCTAATGATTGAAAGTCCTGTCTGTCCACATTGGCATTTAGATACTTCCTGCTGTTCCTTTATTTATTCTTCCCTTTCTTCTTCCTTGAACTTTTAGGGGCGCCTCTTGTTTGATTTGTTGAGGAATTCTCTGGGATTGTGGAAAGAACTCCTTTTATAAGGCTGCTCTGTCTGGCTCTGGATGGGGGCACTTCTGGAACTTTCTTTCTGAGATAATGCTTCTTAGTCCTTCTTTAGTTTTCCTTGCTTGTCCTGCTATTGTTCTAGGAACCTTCAACGCCTTTTTCCATTTTGGTTTCTAATTTCTCTGTTGTAGAGGCTTTATGTTTTCAGAACTTGGCGCTATAACACTTGGGGGGTTTCCTGGGGTTCCCTAGTGTTCCTACTTCAGACATTGACACTTGGATGCTACAGGTATCTACTTCCTTCTTTTATTGCTCCTTCTGTTTTTCTGGGCGACACTTTTCGTCTAGGAATCTTTTCTGTTTCTTCAAATTTTCTTCTGTTGTCTTGGAGGTCAGCCTTTCGACAGAACTGACTTGGGGCTGATATAGGCTTTTGTTTGCTACCTGGCTCCGAGGCCATGAATATATGATTTGTTGAAATCGGGCTTCTTTTTGAGAGCCCGGAGTTCTCAGTTCTGGCCTTTTATTTTTGCTTTGGGTGGTTAACTCCTGCTGACTTCACATCCAGGGGAGATGATCGGGGGGTGAGGGTCCTTCGACCTTCCTTGGGTTACTTGGATAATATAATTCTGAATTAATAATCGTCTCTTTATCTTTTAGGGCGTTTTTTTGTTGTTTCTGATCTTATTTATTATGGGTCGAGATTCCCAGATTCAAAAACTGCGCTTTATTACTAGTCATTATCCTTCCTCCTGTTTATTTCTCGCTCTATTCATAGCTTCTTTGATCATTCTTTCGTTCAATGTACCCTTGGGGGACGCGTTCATCGTTCTATCTGTTGCGGGACCTGGCTTCTGTTTCGGGCTGCTATGGTATTTCACCTCGGATTTCTAATTGAACGGCTAATTCGGAGTAGACCTTGGGTTAACCTTCTCCTGTCTCCTGGGTTTGGTGGCCTTGGGATAAGTCCTTCTTTCTTTTGGAATGTAACAGAGCTGTTTAATAAAATTCTGCTTTGGCTTAGGTTCATTGATTTAGAGTGATTTGCCTGTTAATTTACTCTTTGTCAGTTAGTGTGGTTTACTTTCAGGGCCCTTTTGATTGTAGTTTGTGTTGTTTTAAATTTGGTGTTGGCTTCTGTTCCACCCCCCTCGGACCCTGGTCTTTATTTCTTATTTGACTCCTTCTTGGTAGTTCCTTCTGATATGATTTTTATTTTATTTTTTTCCTATGAACTGTTTCACATCTCTGCAGAGGTTTTTTGATGTTTGCTATTTTATCTATTTCTATTATATTGCAAGGACCTGTTGCTTGGGCTCCGTTTCGGCTTATCTTGGCGGTGTTGCTTTGTTTTTCCTTTTTCTGGGAGGTTGTTATAGACTTTTGTTGGTTGAGGATTTCTCATCAAAATTATGATTTCTCCCTTATGTGGACTCTGGGGTTTTAGATGCCCCTGTTTGGATTTTCCTTATTAGAAGTTATGATATTCTCTATTTCAGGGGATGAGCGATATTATCTGCCTGGGGGGAGAAAGATCCTGTGGAATCCTCGCTGGCTGTCATTCGGCATCTAGAATACTTGACTTCTTTTTATAGATTAATTTCTTGCTGTATTCAGTTTTGGAGTTTGGTAGATTCGATTCGGTTAGGTTGTAATATGCTCTGGGTTTGCCTTCCTGGAATTTTGCTTCCTGTAAGTTAACTTGACTCGTTTGTCAGAGTTCTGCTTATTACAAGCTGTTATTTTTGCGGTGCTTGGGATCTAGTGCTTTTGTCTTTTGAATGATCTTCTGTCTTATGATTGTGGGGCGGACCTGGTAGGATCGTAACTATATTTAACTGCATGAGATGTGTGTTTGCTGAGCCTTGAGGGTTTAGTCTAGTTAATTTACTTTTGAGGTGGGGGGTCCGGTTTTTTAGATGAAATTGATAAAATTTATATTTTTTAGAATTTAATTGTGTCTTATTGGAAGTTCCTTCCTTTCTGTTGTTCTATTTTTTGACTGCTACTCTAACATAGAGTTTCTGCTTTCTGTTCTTTATACGGTTGACTGGTGTCATAGCAAATCATTCTTATGACTAAACTCGATAATTGCTAAATTCTCTTTCTTGTTTGGAGAATTAAAATCCTATAGGGGCGAATTTTTCGGGATTTTTATGCTAATGGTTGGTGTGGGGTGATTATTATTTATTCTTTGTTTTGTTACTTCTTCTAATACTTTCTTTGCAGAATTCTGGTAGCTATATTAATTGGGAAGTTTGGGACTGTTGAGATTCTTAGATTTCTAAATCAGATTTCTGTGGGATGGAGTTGTCTATGTGGGAGTTATTTTCTTTTGTTATCGATTTCAATTTCTCCGGGACTTATAAGCCATTTGGTTTTACCCTTTTCATATAATATATGCTTCACCTTTACCGTGTGTAGAGAGAAATTTTGCCGCTAGAGGGAAATAACTCCTACAGAATTAGTTGACTTATATATCACTGCTTCAGGGGTGTCCGTTTCTTTAAGAAAGGATGTTCTGTGAAATAATATAACCCCAAATGATGAGAACTCTCCATAGGAGAAATTACAATGGATGTTCACTGTACAGGGAAAATAATTTTGGGCATATTAGAAGTGTGTATACATTTGCTTGTGATGGCCTTGATACAGTTCACAGGTTCTCAATGTTTTCAAATGGTTACGTTCAGAAGTTTACTTTTTCATAGACGTTAGTTGTTTATACTGTTTCAATATTTATTAAAGGTTTGGGGCAGGAAATTTAAATTATTAGGCACTTAAATAATAGAACTCCTGTTTCCACTGGATATCATTAAGAAAGATTGTTATGGGGTTTGAACTGTATCAACATACAGGCTGTCTCCTTCGGTTAGAGGTTCTTGCAGAATAGTATAGATACTATAGGCTTATTTCTTGGATATATTGACACTTAGTCTGCAAAAATTTTCCCCATAAGTTATCAGGTAGGACTTTAATTAGTAGAGTGTGATAATTACTTTCAGGCTTAAAACAGTATGGCTAACTAACAAAGATGAGATTCAGAAATTAAGATAGGAACCGAAGGTAATCCGAGAACCCTATTTTAATTCATACATACTACTCATATTATGGGTATGAAAAGAAAGATTAGGGTTTCATCAAGATTACACCCAATAATAATACACGGGCTCTTTGATATTCAAAAGAGAGCGCAGAAGCCTAATATGGACACTACATATCTGAAGAATCTGCAGGTGTCATACATGATACATCCTTTGTATTTTTTCTATGGGGACAGTAGCCTTAAGTAATGTTGGATCGAGTCATTCTGTATCGGTGTATTATACAATTTACTGTTCCGTAAATCATAATGAGAAGAGATAGATCTTTTACATGAACAAAGAGAGTTGTTCGAATATCTATTCTAGACCCCCATTCCTTTTAAGACAGACCATAGGGTTTCTCTGTGTTAACGGCTCCCGTTTGTGGAATTATAAGATTCATATGTTACATCTTCATACATATCCTTTATATATGTTCATATATCTATGTAGAAAAGACATAGCTCATAATCTAAGAAATGCTCATTTATTTATATTTTATTGATAAACGAGGACTACATTTAAGATGTGGTGTACATAGGTCTCTAAGGGTGGACGAGCAAAAGGATAGAATACATTACCAGATGTAATTTAAAAAGACACATTTAAAATTACAACACGCACCATATATAAAAGCATCCACAGAGGTACTTAGGTATATACGCACAATAATGGGGATCTAACATGGCCACATTATAGATTTAATATATTTCTTAATTGGTCTTTTTCTAGTATAGTTTACGTTATTGCGTGACAAAGAGTACGTCAGCATAAATTAACTTACACTTTGCTATTTATCATACGAAGCACCCATAAGTGGGATTCTGTTGGTTTTAAAGAAAATTATCGGATTAGTAATTATAATAATATGGCAATAAAACTAATACAGAGATCATCATCTCATATTTGTTCCACTTTAATATTCCAATAACACTATGTCGCTACTTACTATTTTATAATACTCAGAATAAGACACCTATCAGATTTCTTCTGTATATATGCCTGGAATATTTTATTTGGCTTTCACCATGAGCACTATTAATATTGGTCCAAATTTTTTTATTTGATTCAGTTTTTGGAATATTTTGTCACTGGAGGTCCACAATATTTATTCATGCTATTATAGAGAAGTTTGTATTCGAAGGGTGTTTTTCATCCTGACATAATAATTTTTCTGGAAGCTGAAACATCTATATAGACGATTAGAGTAGAGAAAAATGAAACCCTTAAGATAGATTCAGAATAAACATACTTATAAATCAGAGGAACCAAGAGTAACGAAACCAACATATATGTTAAATTCTATCCTTCTATCAATCTCCATGTTTGTTTCTTTCCTATGACTCTGGAATAAGTTACGGAAAATTTCTTGACATGGTGGCTCTATGTTTTGTTTTAGCATTATTTCTACAGTATGAATCTGAAGAATAATATACCATTATAATGGATAACGGTCTCAGTAAATGCAGATTCTCACTCAGGTCGTATGGAGGTGCTATATTTTTTATTACTTTAAAAATTTATCTGTCCCCAGAAGTTTGCTTTCAAGAATATTTACAATGATTGAAGACTCTCGCCTTTAGATAATTTATTCTTTAGATTTCTATCAATCATAATTCTCTCTGGCGCCGATTGTGGATACATATATATATCCGCTTGTATTCTATGTTATCCTAACTTCATGTTATAATGTCCTCGTAATGAAGTGCGCCTTTCCGCGAAAGTCGGAGCTGTATTCTACATTCTCTTTTTTTTTGAAAACTTCAATTGTGATATTGTAAATTCTTTCCATGAATTACAATTCGAAACATGAAATAAAATATAATATCATCAGATAAAAATTCGAAAGTTAGGTTTAAAGTCAAAATGATATTTACCTCCTTCCTCTAATATAATGGGTATCTCAAAATAGGAACTATCCTGTCCAAGTAGCATTGAGAATTAAATTACATGTGGTTTAACTCTTTCACATTTCCGAGGAATGCATTTTGCTTATCTACTCCTTCTCGAGTGCCCATGAATCTACAGAGGCAGCTTGTTATTATGCTTAGTATACTGTGACATATTGTGAATTCTTCTAAGTGGGACATCTAGAAATTATTTTAATTAATTCTACATTATTCTGGTTCCTTAAATATAAGATACTGAAAAGTTCCTTTCTTCCTTTTTCCTCTTTTTTCTTTTTTTTTCCTTTTTTTCTTTGTAAATTCCAAACTTAAGAAATTCTATCTCACTCAGATACAGTACAACATATTAATCTTATAAAATACAAACACTCTTGAAGAAAAATGAGACAATAAATTCTCTGAGTATCATTGGAAGAAAATTTTTATATAACAAAATTTTCCGTTGCTTCACGGATATTTTCAGAATGGGAAGCCTATACAATAGGAAACGATACAGCAGAGGCACTTATTTTTTTAACTCGTTTTTGTTCGCCTTTCTAGCAATGTCATGGCATTATTCCAGAGAAGTACTCATCTAACAGTTTCAGTTACATTCAATATGTCAGACACTATTATTCTCTACGATTCCAACTCGTTCAGAGGTCTATTCCATGATGAGAATTGAATTAATATGTCAATAATTCTATCTCTTCTCATATTCATATTTTTACCCAAATTCTTAGAGAATTACCCACTCGGGTGAATCAGAGGGAAAGGGGCTGAACCCGAGTATATTATTAAACTTAAGAACTAGTCGATTGCTAAGGGGAGAAGCTGACCTGGATTACCAAGATAAATACGATCCCCTAAATGACAAAATTATGCAGATAGCAGACGATAATGATTACACTTCCGAAAGGAGATTAAAATCCATGATGAAAGATAATGAATTTAACACACAATTCAATACAACGAATTCCAATGAAAGTGTTCAAAAGTGGGACAATTCTCATGATTCCTATGAAAGTTTCCCTAATCATGATGAGGTGTTTGATTCATCTAGAAGTATTGATAATAGTGACGAATCATCTGTTGAGATTAATTATCACGACGAAAATGGTGAAGTCCATAATAGTGACTCTACTATCTACAGCGAAGTACATTCATATAAGCCTGTGGAAGACACATCACCTACGATCTATAGTTAAAGACACAGAAAAAAATTTATCTTTTCAAGTTTATTCAAATTACTGAAAGATTTAGATGCGGAAGATGAAAGGGGAATATATAATACACTGAAGAATAATGTACCTCATTATATTCAAGGTATTTTAGGTCCCAATATAGCACAGAGAACAATAAATGTTATTAAGATTCTTACAATTTTTCTCCCTGTCTTACTACCTGTTTCAGTAATATACACCATAGTCCTATTCAATATGTTTGCAGTGGTTACCGTAATAGCAACACTTATTATTATACCATTTCTTCCCTTCCTCGCGTTATTCCTGTACCTTTTTTACAAATGCAATAATTGCAAATACTTGACTGTATTATTCGAATCATGTATATTCTCAGGAAAACGTCATCTAGGATGAGAAATATAGAAAGAATTTCCATAAACCTCCGTAGCTAATGCCTCCTCCTCTATAGTATACATATACGTATCCCCTTTCAAACTTCCAGGAATATGGACTAGCGGTATATATATCCGTCGGATATGTAAAAATTTTTCATTTTTAAGTAGTCTCTGTTTCAGAACTACTTCTTTCCTCTAGGGCTTCTTATCCTTTCCCTCATAAATTTACGATTGGAATATTGATTTCTTTTGTATCCTATTAATTCCGTACGAGCTGTATTAAAAATAATGCTCTTAAGGAACATGTTCCACTTTATCCTTCTGATTACATTATATTGTGCATATACGTCTTTAAAAAGTTTCAATACTTAAAATTCTTAATTTTTGACATATTCACTATGATTAAATCAAATACAACATTTTCCTGTCCTAAACACTTTCATGTGTCTACCAAGAGGCAAACTGAATCCATTAATGAAATTTAGTGGTGAGTAGTTTAGACAGGGAATTTGTTCAGTACTCACTAACGCCTACGAAGTTATTGAGGCAATACGTATGGGAATTCTGACTTTACATAAATGTAGATATGTATCTTTAAATTTCTACACTTTCATATATTGATTAATTTGTTTATATTAATATGATAAACTTCAGTTGTTTCATTTCAATATCAGTTATATGATTATATAAAATAGAACATCTGAAGTTATTATTTGTCCACATATAATTTTACAGGTCACACAAAGACGCCTTCATAACATACTTCGCCGCAGTCCTCTCCATCACCCTATTGCGGTTTCGGCAAACTTAACATATATGAAGAACATTTCACATGACGCTACTTTACTTCTGTTTTTCATTTTCTCCCGGATGAACATAGGTACTGTTTGGTTTTTATAAATGAAATTTGTAAGACCACTCTAATTCTTGACGTTTCATAGTGATTGGTCCCATTTACTTTGACGAAGGGTATGCGTTCTTGTATTGTTTTCGCTCTCTGCTGTATTTGTTTATTCCTTCATTCATCTCTTTTGGTTGACAGGCGTTTCCTTTTTCTCTTTTTTGAGTAAAACGCGCTGCACTTTGGGTTTCGTGGAAATGGAATATTGTATTTATCAGTTTCAACATAAGTGGTTAGCCGTGTCTCCCGTTATTCGTGAAGGGG